CGTGTTGATGAAAAAATGTGAGGAATAGTTTCTTGAAGTTTTTGCAAAATAACGTTCCTGTAGATCATGTTGAAAGCATAATTATGATCTAGATTACCGACAACACGAAATGATGAATTGAAATGCTAATTTGAAAAGAGAATGGTAACATTTACAACTACTTCACATCCCCCGAAGTTCCAAATTGAACATAACAAAATTGATTCGAAAAAACAAACAACACATCCTGATATGATGTTGTTGGGTCTTTCTGCTGCCTTGGTGCTGTTGATGGTGAGTAAAAAATACAGTGCGGTGGTCAGTTGAGAACGTTAGGCGTTCACTTGGAGCAACACATGAAAAAACGACAAAAAATCGTACCACTAACTATGGGGCCTTTTGTCATCTCAGATGACATTTTCGAAACATGGTTGTCAGGTAGTAAGCATAAAAAGGTGAATAAATATACTGATTTTCATGAATATGAAAAGAAAAATTGTTCCTCAATGATGAAATGGCAACGTTAGAAATATCTGAAATTCAAGCGATATATCTACTATATAAGATACCATCAATATCATTTATATAAATGCAATTGCATATCACTATGTTGTTTTGCAATTACTTTGGAAGTGATTGGGCTGAAATTTCAGATTCTATTCAAAACTGTATGGATAAAAAACAAAAAGGAGACTTTTTCTCTGAAAACGCCAACTTGGTTAGTGAAACGCGGGTCAAAAAAGTATTGCAGTTCTGGTGTTTGGAAACAGTGTCAGAGGTTTTAGTTCTTCCTACATTTTTTTGAATGATACGATATATCTATTTTCCGTATCGAAATTTTATTTTTCAACTGTGAAAACATGTTCGAAAACATTTTATGAAGACAATGATTTTGAGATGGAAGTATTGGTCCAGAAAAAATATATAAGTTTCTGAGAGTATGAAATCATATACTTATGATAATTTCTATTAGGAGAAGTATATACAATTTTCTATCAATCAATAAAATACTGCTTATTCTCATCAGACTTTTGTGTTTTGCTCCACAGTTTCTTGGTTCCTGTAAGCTTCGAAAGCAATATCTCTCAATTGTGACGCAATAACTGGACCAGTTTCTGCTACCATCTCACGGAAATGACCATCTGCTCTTTGAATTAACTCATGTGGATGGTCAAATTCTAGTATCTTTCCAAAACTAATGACGAGAACCTCATCGGCATCCATGATTGTATTCAATCTGTGGGCTATGGTGAGGACGGTACAATCAGAGAACTTTTCTCTGATTGTTTTTTGAATCAACGAATCAGTCCTGAAACAAACATCATTATGTGAAATTATTGAAAACATTTTTTTTCTGATATGGGATAAACAGTGGCAGGTATTAATGGACACATACGTATATTCCCCCAGTATTTGAAACTGGAAAGTCGAAATTCAGATAGTGAGTTATGCAGGCACTGTATGCGATATCTATCATTGAACTGTTTGTGCAAAGATCGGAATTTATCAAATTGACGAATACGGCTTTCATTCATTTTTCATGAGAAGTTTCAAAGTTACTTTGATTTTAGTTTATGCGTTCTTCTCAAATGTAATATTCCGTATAATAGTCTGTTTTCGTTTTCTGTTCGAAATTACCTACCTCAGGATATTACCATTTTATGTGTTATTCTTGACAATTTTTCGAATATTTGTGCTTCCAAATTTATTTTCACGAAATTGAAGAAACATATGTTTGGGTAAATGATCAATACACTTTCTGACTTTGGAATATATAATCTAATTCAAAAGTGGCATGTGGTCAAATTTTAGTTCGCCTTCACAGAAGATCGTGATAACATCATTCGTTTTGTATTTTCTCTCTTGATAGTTCACGATTTGAACCAAATTGCCCAAACAAATAGTTCAGAAATTATGAACAATTTAGCTGAACATAAACAAATTCTTTTTCAAATTTCTTATTCTAATTCAAAAAATATATACAGGGTGTCCCTGGACTTTCTCTTTTCCTCTCGGGAATGTATAGATGGGGTCAAAATAACACCAGTACTTCATATAACTTTTTTTCCTAAAAGTCTTCGTAACCAAGTTACGGGCCCTCGAAGTTACAAAATGAAAAATGTTTTTCTTTGATAACTTTTCAAGTGAATATTCAAAATCATCCAAATTTTGGTAATTGACTAAAC